GGAGGGGAGGGGAAGAGACGATGAAAGGAAGCAAAAGCGAGGACAGGACAGGATATGACAGGAGGCGGGGAGAGGTAGCAGTACCGACAGGCCTTGGAGCGGTAGAATACGTTGGTGTCCTCCAGGTACTTCATGATCTTGGTGACCTGCTGGAAACTCTCGATAGTCGAGTAGTTCCTTCAGAGAATGGGCGTTCAGTGAGGAGAGGAGAGTGAAGAGGTGAAGAGGGAGGGAAGAGAGAGGAGGGGGAGGGAGGAAGTGGAGGAGAGGAGGTAGGAGGTGGGAGGGAGGTGGTGAGAGGGAGTAGGGGGCTTACGAGCTTTTGGATGTGGAAGTGGAGGGTCGTTTCATTGGCACTGATCTTGTCAGACTTCGGGGTGTATCCTTTACTCCAGCATCGTCTCAAGGTCTTTCTGCTGTATAATTGAGCTTCCCTTCTATTCCTCGTTACTGCCAGAATGCTCTTCGGTTAGGAACATAGACTATCCCACTCTTCCTGCTGGTCCGCATTCATTCTATTCTTGCACCATGATTCACTCAGTTGGTTTGAACAAAACTTTGGTTCAATCCCTCCTGCAACTGCACGCTAGGGAGAAAACCAGGCTCCCTCCTTCGGACTCGTTTCATTCTTAGCCATGCTCTCCCATTCCTACTGTCGTTCTCCATGACTGGGTACACAAAAATTCGCATAATATGCTTCTCCTCCTGCTCCTGCCCCTGCTCCTGCTCCTGCCCCTGCTCCTGCTCCTGCTCCTGCTCCTGCTCGTCCTCCTCCCCCTTCCCCTTCAATCCTCCTGATCCTCTTTCTCCTCCTTCTGCTTCTTCTGCTCCATCTCCTCCTCTTCCTCGCTCCTCGTCCTCGTCCTCCTCCTCGTTCCTCTCCTCCCAGTTCTCCGACTGGAAAAAGATGTCTGTAAAAGTTAAAATGAACACCGTAAAGGTAAAAAAGAATTTGCTTTCTTCAAACGTTTCTATAACGGTCGATGGTATAGAATGGGTGGGTAGTCTAGTGGGTAAAAGGGGGTGGGGTAAGAGACAGGCAAGGGGTCATCTGAGGTGATATTGTTGTGAAAAAACAGGGTAGGGTCTTTGTTTAACCCCTCCTATCCTGTCAAATTTTGTGGAAATTTATAGGTGGGGGTAGTTCCAAATGTCTTGTTTGTGGTCCCGAGGCGATCTGCAGATGTGGGTAGGGGACTAGAAGCCTCTAGTAAGGGGGGTAGTGGCGATAGGGGTGGTCGGTCAAAAAGCCGGCCGGATGCGGTTTGTATTTTTGGGGTTTACACCGTATGGACAAAATTGAAATGAGAACTTTAAGTTTGAAAAGTAGAGTGATAATTTCTTTTAGTTAAATTTTATTGAGTAGAGATTTCGAGTTCATTTTTCAAAGATCTCGAAATTTCAATTCAAGATTTTCAAGGAAGCGGCATAATGAGATTTGATGGTGGGGGTGAATTTGGGGTAGGTGACAGATTGAAAAGGTGGGTCAATCTAATGACTACCCCTTATATGTATGAAAATGAGTGCATCATAGGAGGGGTACTTTCATTGTCATTGGTCAGAACAAGGGGTGTCAAAATTCAGGAAGGGGTGGGGGTTGCCCTGTGTGATTATGGGGGTAGGGTAATCAAAGGGGTTCAGTGCATGGCGGTGCAGTGTGAGAAAGATGGAGGAGGGGAGGAGGAGACGAGAGGAGGAGAAGAATAGGACAGAGGATTGAGATGACGATGTGCTCGATTGATAAGAGGAAGCAGCCGCATGGTCGAGAGCTCTGCATTCGCTCATATGAGGGAAGGAACATGGCTGGATTTCGACAGTCACTAGAGGCGGATATGGTGCAGTAAGAATGTTAGAATAGGCCACATAGAATGACCGGAGGAAGGCAATACATAACCGTCGTTGTGACTGCATGTGCGCAAAAAGAGTGTCTGCAACAAGGGGCTATCGTTTCTAACGTATGGATGGGGACGGAGAGTAGGAGGTTTCTTCCATTCCAATCCTAGCTACCAGACTATACAGATAGCAGGCGGAAAAGCGTTTGTCGGAATGTCGAGTGCCGCATTGACACGAACACTTGCTAGGACTATGCATGAATCTCAATGCACATCCAAAACTTCTCACTGTAGTTTGTAACCGACAATGATATCGTTTATGCGAGGTTTCACTTGAATTCAGTTTCACTTGAGTATGGGCTCGGCATCATATTTTCCCTTGCCAACCAACATTTGAACTTCTTAGAGCTTGACTTATCCTGGCTGCTGACTGTTTGTGTGCAGCACTTGTTGCTGTGCTGTTAGCATGGACAAGCCTAGTAGGAAAGGGGACGCCCTGGTTCGATCCTAAGAGGGACGGGTCTTGATTGATGTCTTCGACGTGGACTGAGAGGGACCAGTGGACACAATCGTTCTCCTCTGAGATTGGCGATGAGGTCTTGCCATGAGCATGAGCTTTTCGATTTCTCGAATGATGACCTCCTTAGCTGGGGGCCACTGGAAAGCGAGCCAAGTCTCCCGAGGAAGCGAATGGTCTCCCCCTGTACGATGAGCATGAGATCATGATGAACTTTGATAGATGATGATTCGGAGCAAGGGGACAACTCTGCTGGCTCTGAGGTCAGATGAGCTTGCTGCAGGTTTGTCTCTGTGCTCGCTGACCGTGGAACCAGAGCTCTCGCAATCGATACAAGTGCGGTCGATGCGGCCAACCAAAGAAAGGGCACACTTGTTTCAAGCTGAAAGAAGCCAAAGGTCCTGTCATCCTTGTCCGAGGCTTCAATGACGGTGGGTCTGCAGACGAGCTGTGGAGCGGCGATCCTATGGTCAACTATCATAACGTCAGGCTGGACAAACGTCAGCACCTCAAGTCAAAGTTGATCGAACGACTGTCTCGCCGTCTACAATCTGCTGGAATCCCGACAGGAAGCGGCTACTCCTTCGACAGCAGGTGGCGATCGACCTCCTCGTGCTCGTGCTCACTCTCTCGATCGCTTCCTGGCAGATTCATGCCCTACATGGCCCCCTACCACCCCTGGTCAGGGCCTCCTCCCTCCATGCCACCATTTCCAGGTATGTTCGCCTCCTCCTTCCTCAAGACGACTGAAGCTTGTTTGAAGGATTCAACCCTAACATGCGCTTCGGTGGTATGCCTGGGATGATGCTCCAAGTATGAGCTCTCGCCTCGTACCCTCGTCCTCCTCCCCTTCCCTTCCTGCCTTCCTTCTTTTCCTCCCTTCTTGCCAGACATTATCTCCATCCTCTGCCATCCTGCCATGTTCGCTCCTATTCCACCAATCCCATTCCTTCTGCCTGTTCACTAACATCCCCCTGCTCACTTTCACTCTCAGAGCCCCGTTGGTTTCGGTCAGGGTCCTCATGGCGTTCCGGGAATCTCTATACCCATGAATTTCGGTCCTAACGTGTCCTCCGGGCCCATCACGCCGCTCATGGGCATTGCGGGAATGCCGTACGGAGGTGATGGGGAGAGGAAGAGAGAGTTTTTGGAGAGGAAGGAAAGGGCTGAGGCGTGACCAGATGGTGGAGGGTACGGGGACATGTCTTGGCAGGAGCCTCCGAGCGTCAATGGTGCGATCATCCCACGGTGAGGGAGGCGAGTGACGAGCGTGTGGCCTCAGGATCGGGAGACAAGCAGAAGAAGAGACATAAGGCAAACATGAAAGAAAACAAGTGAAGCTGCTTGTTGGACCTCCGCTGCTGAAGGATCATGACGACAGTCTCCCCTCGCCCCCTCCCCTCTCCCTCTCCCTCTCCCTCTCCCCTCTCCCCTCTGTATTCTTTGAAAACGTTTTTCTTTCCAAGTTTTAACGCGCAAACAGCATTTTGACAATGAGTTGACAATGGAAGGTTAATAAATGAAATCCCTTACTCCACTGCGGCCCGATGATGTAACGGTGAGAAGGGGAGAGGCAGAAAGGAGGATGTGGTGGAGGAATGTAGACGAGTAGCGGATGTCGGGCTTCAAGCCCAGCAGGGCCCAGCCTCTGGCACTCTAAGACACGGCCAAGTCGGACTGGCAGCTGAGTGGAGTTGCAGTCACTACGGTGCTGGTTCTGTTGTAGCAGTTGCAGTCTGAGTTGCAGTCTGTTGCAGTGCAGGTTGCAGTGCGGCAGGCGGGACTGGGAGGGGATGGGGGGCGAAAAGTGTCGGGGCAAGGGAATGCACGAAGGGGAGTCAGGATAGGAGGAGGATGTGAGAGGAGAGGAGGAGAGGAGGAGAGGAGACAGGAGAGGAGAACATCACAAGAGGATTTGAGAGGAGAGGAGGAGGAGGAATCCTGGCTGCCTGACACTGCGACATGGCGATGGATGGTGTGTTTCGGCAGGGAAGGATTTCTGTCCTCGCCCTCGCATGCCTGTGGCTCGTCTCCTGCAGCCATGGCGCTCAAGACTTCCGTGTGCTCCAGGAGTTCTCTCCTCGTCCTGCGCTTGCTTATCTCAACTTCTCCTTCAACGCCGACGCCTTCGTAGCATGCAGGCAGCGCGTCCTGTCGTTGGTGATGGCAGGAGAGAAGGCGAGGACAGGGGAGGAGGTGGAGGTGGAGGTGGAGGTGGAGGTGGAGTTTGCTGTCTTGAACCTCATCATGGGAGAATCTGCCGGACGTGTCCTCGTGTTCTTGGATGGTATAAACGTCGGAGAATGTCCAGCTCAGGTGTGCAGCATCAGGATCGCCGGAGGGGCTCTGGGGGCAGGAAGCAGCCGCGAGCTTCTCCTGTCCTTCATTGCGTCCGAGCAGACGCTGGCGGCTCAGGTGGCTGTCGCTCTTGGGACGACGATCCAGATCGAGCTCGAGCAGCGGGGGGGGAACGGGGACGGAGGAGCAGCAGAGCGACTGAGAGCAGGGGAAAGGTTCAATGCACTTCCGTGCGTACAGCCAGCGGGAGCCGAGGAGGAGGAGGAGGATGGAGAGGAGGGAGATGGGCTAGCGAGGGACGGGAGGGCAAGCTAGAGGAGCCAGAGAGGCTTGCAGGGGAGGGGGAGAGCCATCAGGTTCAGAACGACTTCATGAGGGATTTCGTTTCCTCACACTTCAATATCCGTCGGGTCCTGGAGATTGGGTTCCATGCAGGAAAGTCGTCCAGGGCCTTGTTGGCGGCAAGGCCAGACGTGCATGTCACTTCCTGCGACATCGGCCGCCATGGCCACGAGGAAGCGTTCTGGACCTTTACCATCAACCAGTTCCCTCGCCGCCACTCGCTCGTCGTCGGTGACTCGGCACGAGCCATCCCAGCGTTTGCAAGGATGAACCAGGTGACAGCGATGTCCTCCCCTCCTCTGCCTCCCCCGCCTCCTCCTCTTCCTCTTCCTTCTCTTCTCCTCCTCCTCCTCTTCCTCTTCCTCCTGCTTCTCCTTGTCCTCTCCTCTGGCTCCAGCTCCTTAACATTGTTCCATCCTACCTCAACCTCCTCCGTCTCCTCCACCTTCTTTCCTCCCTGTCCCCCTTGTCCCGCCGCTCACAAGCATGCAGCTTCAAACCTTCGACCTCTTCTTCGTCGACGGCGGACATACGCTGGAGCAGGCGCACTCGGACATGATCAACTGCCAGGCACTGGCAAGGAGGAGAGCAGGGGAGGAAGCGTCTTCCGTCGTGATGATGGACGACTTGACCCCCTGGGTCTACTGGGGACGGGGCCCGACAGCAGCATGGGAGCGGGCGATGGAGGAGGGAGTGATCGAAGGGGTGGAGTTCTACAGGCAGAAGACGACAGAGGAGCTGCTGTGTGTCTCCGATGAGGAGAGAGGAGCTGGAGCTGGAGCTGGAGCTGGAGCTGGAGCTGGAGCTAGAGCTGGAGCTGGAGCAGCAGGGGGGAACGAGGAGGGGACATGCAACAACACGATCGGGTGGGTGAGGATGAGTGCGAAAGAGTTCGAGGAGCTGAAGGAGAGGTACGGGGAGCTGCGCAGCTCTTTCAACGGATCGGACGAGCAGTTCGAGACTATCAAGGTGAGGAGGGAGACGGGGAGACTTCGCTGAATGAGGTTGTGCAGGTGTGGGCTGTTGGGAAGTTCACTGGGAGGGGTGGGGAGAGGGAAAGAGTCGAGCCTTTCGTGATGGAGGTGAAGCACGAGGGAGCGATGTTGAAGTCCGATGAGGGAGAGGCAGGGAGGCAGGAGCAGGGAAGTGCGCAGACTTTGGGTGAGAGGTCAAGGGGAGGACAGGAGGTTGGGGATGGAGTTGCGGTCTGCGTGATCGGCAAGGAAGAAGAGATCGACGCTCTCCTGCTCGCTACTTCCACCATCGTCAGCATGTTGCCAGGGTGGTCATTACAGGTGAAGATCAGGAGGAGGAGGAGGAGGAGGAGGAGGAGCAGCAGCAGCAGCAGCAGCAGTCTGCATAGGAGGAGGAGGAGAATGACGTTGGATTGCAGATATTCTACATCGGGAAATTTGGAGAGGAGCTCAAAGTCCGAATGAAGCCTGTATTCACTCCTACTTGCTCTAGAGGGTGCGGGAAAGGCTGAGAGTGAAGCAGATGCTGCAGCTGCAGGATATGCAGGAGAAAACTAGCTTCATCGAGATCCCCGAGCGCGTCAACGGTTTCCCTCCTCTACCTTACATCTCCTCTTCGTCCGCTCTCATTCTCCTCCTTTGCTACATCCGAACTCTTACTCTTTCTTCAATGCTCGCTCCTCCTTCCCCTCCACCTTTGTTGTAATCCTTCCCATCCTTTCCTCCCTCCCACCGCCATCCCCCCCCTTGCTCGAATTCTCTAACGCCTCTCCCTCTCTTTCAGAACGCTTCCTTCGCAACGAGACGAGCAACGAGCTCTGGCACTCGCACCACGACCATCCCGATGGAGGGATGAAACTGCTGTGCGAGCGGGGAATTCACTACGACACGCTCCTCAAGACGCGATGGTCTGCTCATTGACTGTGGGGGAGGAGATCGTTGGCTCAAGGACCTGCGGCAGGTTCTGGGAGCAGGTGGAGCAAGAGAAGGTCCTGATCTATCAGGCCGACAGTCTGTTGTGTAGAGATGCAGAGCTTGACATCGAAGCTTTCCTCGAGTTCGACTATGTCGGGGCCCCGTGGAGGTGAATGGCTGCTGCTGCTCTGTCCCCTGATGCTCCGCTTCCTCTTCTCATGCTGCTGTTCCTGCTGCAGGCAGGGGGCATGCCCACACGACAACGACAGGAGTGTTTCGATTTGCATGCATGACTTCATCCAGATGGTATTCTGCTCCTCCCTCCTTCCTCCTCTCCTTTTCCTCCCTTCTCTTGCCATACCCCCTCATCTTCCTCCGCTTTCTTCCTCCTCCCTTCTCCTCCCACCTCTTCCTGCCCCTGCTTTTCCTCCTCACTCCCTCCCGCAGGTGGACGACGCTGGTTTCTTCATAGACAACTACTCGCTGCCGCAAGGGCAGGGAGGGAACGGAGGATTATCCTTCCGCAAGAAATCCAAGATGCTCGAGATCATCGAGAGGTGACTGACCTGCCCCCTCGCAGATTCTGAGTCAACTTTCTCCTCCTCCCGCACCACTACCACCACCACCACTACCTCCTCTTCCTCCTCCTCCTCCTTGTCCTCCCCCTTGTTCTCCTCATCCTCCTCCTTCTCCTCCTCCTCCTTCTCCTCCTCCTTCTCCTCCTCCTCCTTCTCCTCCTCCTCCTCCTCCCCCACCCCCCCTCCTCCTCCTCCTCTCCTCCCCCTTGTTCTCCTCCTCCTCCTTCTCATTCTCCTCCTCATTCATGACCCTCCAACCAACAAGACACAACCCTCCAGCGGTCTCCAGCGGCATCTGACTCGTTTCTCAACTAGGTGCAAGTATTCTTTATCCATGGACTGGAACGAAGACGTTTTCTTCTCCTTCCCCTGCCCTGGCGTTCAGATTCACCTCCCTCCGGTCCGCTCTTCTCCTCTCCAGCTTCTGTTCCCAACTCGTGCTCTTGCCAGCTCGACGTAGCTGTTAAGTTCAGCGTGGAGAGCGGGGAGCTCTTCGAACGACCCTTCGGCCTCCATAAGCCTTGGCGGTTCCTCTTCTTGCCGTCTAGTCTCTCCTCCTGACCCTGAAGCACAGGCACAGAACGAGTTCCGATCTCAAGGTCCTCACCCGAGCATGTCCAGAGCTGCCAGTGCTCGCGGGGTTGTGCAAAGTCAGCTTGCAAGAATGAAGACCGGCCAGTTGGTGCTCTATAGCGCTAAACAGAAGCCTTATGCTTCAGGCATCGGATCTGCTCTGCTGTGTTACTTGAGATTCGAACAAGACTGGATGAGACCATTTCATGCTTTACACGACCTTTGTTTCTCTATCAAACATCTTCGTCTCTTGTGCTCCCCTCTCCCTCTCCCTCTACCTCTCCATTCTCCCTAGTCCATCAACCTCTCCAACCCCTACGCTCCGTCTCCCTCTCTACATTACTCTCCACGATCTCAGAAAGAGAGTGTGGAGGATCTCTCCGA